AAAATCACCAGCCGAGTTGGTACTCGAGGGATCTTCTTGCTGCCTCTACGTCTTTACGCGAATTTGGATCTTTAGGCTCGAACCAGTGCGATACCAACACTATTCCAATTTTCCCTCCACCCTCTTGGCACTATATTGTAACATAATAAAGAAATTATTGAATGATTAGTTTATATATGGCATATACTATTTTTGTAATCCAGATATGTATAGGCTTTATGATTTAAGCTTTATGATATATATGGAAATTAATTAAAAAGCACTGACCTTTTTACAGTTTCGGAATTCATCAACAGCAGCAAGATGAGCAAGAATCTGGTTGTGAGCAACTGTGTATGGCTCCTCGTATGAATCTCCTGTGGGGCATTTTGGGGTTAGCCATTTAGAGCACCGTCCTGGCGCTTTCTTACCTTTCGAGTAACCAGCAACGCTGTATACCGATGGCTCGTTAAACGTCGCCCAATTCTTCACCCTATCTCCAAATTCCTTGAAGCAAAAGTTTGCAAACTGCCGGAAATCCTCTCTACATTAATTTGTTAGCAACAAAAGTTTATTAAAATTTTTTTAAGAAAATCAAATAGTTGAATAGTTTTTTCTTTCTTAGTAGAAGAAGAAATCTTGAGAATTTTTTATCAACAAGACTACTTACACTATCTTTTCACTTAGGAAACCTTGGTACTCCATTTCTAGAGCAAGCGGAGATTCCCAGTGAAAGAGAGTAACCGAAGGCTGTATTCCTGGTAATTAGTAGTACAAACAATTAAAAAAAAAAACAAAAGCTGGTATAATACAACATACACAAGTTTGAAATAACAATTAAGATTGAATATATATATATGAGACATAAGTTATAAGATGTTTAACCATTGGCTAAAAGTTCATCTATAAGATCGTTGTAGAACTTCACCCCCTCCTCGTTCACACCTTTTTTAATAGTTCCATCTGCAAATTATATAATAAAAAAAAATCATGAATTATAAAAGTAAAAAGAATCATTACGTACGTCTTTGCAATATAGATTTAAGTTAGAGATAATATGTGGTTTGGTAAATTAACTGCAAGGACGAATGAGATGGACTTACAAGGCAAGATCCTGGTCCATGAGATTGAAAATCTGAAGCCATTCGTGTTCAACTGCTTCATTAATTTTATATCTCCCTAAAACATCACATCCCGCGCAATCGTTTCAATTTATTTATACGATTAAAAAGACTACCATTTACTATATATATGAAAGCATATGTACCCATAATAAACAATGAGGTACCTTGTAACGGTTATAGAAGTCGACTCCGTCATCTCCATCGCCATTTTGTTGAACCTTCTCTGAAAGATGTCACAACAATGGTGCATGATACATTTTCTTTTAAGAAAAGATTTAAGAAAAATAAAATAAAATTCCGCTCTATAATGATCATATATATAATCATTGCAAATTCATAATCACTTTGTAATTTATACCAGGAAACATGTGTGTAAATTCGTCCCATGAGGTCAAGCCTCTTCCAGAACCCTTTTTAGCACCTTCAACCTAAAACTCAAACCAATTTGAAAATGATATAAGACTCTTCTATATATCAATGTTATAATGTTATGAGAATATAATGTGTTTATTATATGTATGTTGACCTGATATGCGGAAACAGATGTTCCAAAGATGAAATCTTCGGGGAAATCTTGCTTGTGGATCTCATACTCGGGTCCAATGATGGTGCCCAAATCATCATCATTTAGGTTGGTGTGCGGTCCAACGCTGGTGCCCATATCCATGTCCATATCTTCGTCATCATCGACGGTCGCATGCGGTCCAATCACGATGCCTACCTCGTCATCGAAGCTAGTTTGATGAGGTCCAATGACGGTACCAAGATCCTCATCTCTTGGTTGAGGCCTAGCATCGGCGTTGAAGCTAAGTATGGTACTTGTCAAGGCTAAGATCCCTAGGAAAAGAGTGAGAGTAGCTGTAGCCATATGAGTGTTTTTCTTGTGAATGTTATTGTGTTTTTTTTTATGCTTCTTCTATTTCCCAATCCGTTCTATTTATAGGAAAGAAGCTTCAAGTGTGTCTTATGTGAAATGGAATTTGTGATTTCCTTGTATTGCACTCATATTTTGTGGGGCATCTTTGGTTTAGTTATAGGATAAGTTTTTTGTTTTTTGTCGTCAAGTTATAGGATAAGTTATGGTGTTATACTCATCATCATAAGCTTTTAGTACTTTGTAAATTCCATTTAGAAAGGTATTGTGTGTAACAATGGTTGCCTATGGCAAAACATATGTCATCAGATCCAAACGTCCAAAGTGAATTCAAAATGAATCATCTATACTAGTATAATCGCAGCACTTTTTGTGACGGGTGGGTAAAAAAGCTTTCGGGTATATCGGATATCCGACCCATTTTAAAAATTCCTTCACAAAAAATTTGTTGGGTCGGGTTATATTTAACCCAACTCATACACCGGATATTCCATATTTAATAATTTAGATTTTTAGAAGATTTGATTAAGATTTATAATTATGATTCTCCTATCATCTTTGTTTGATTTGTTTTTAACTGTTTTGAATCATCATATAATACATAAAGTAAAAAAAAAAACAATTTTTTTTCTGCATATACTGTGATTCGAAATTTTAAAAACGGACATATATTATCCAATTGACGAAAATGTGTGTTCAACGTTCTACATCGATTAAAATATTTAGACAATGATTCAGAATCATATCATAAATAAGAACATTAATAAAATAAATGAGTTTTTTGGCGGGATGGGTTTGGCGGGACGGGTTTTTGAATCAACAATAATAAAAAGATTAAAATATCATTAATCCGCAGCTTCAATACGGATTTAATCCTTATTTTTTTTAATATAAATCACAGGACGGGTTAAGAAATTACGGAACGGGTTATATTTCGGAAATGATTTATATGGCGGACGAATTTGAATCAATATTTATATACCGCTTTAATACGGGTTAAATCCTCAGTTTATTAATAATTATCTCGTGGACTCGTGGTATACCGTTACTTAATAACAATTGTAAACTATAATATAAATAAATATGTTATAAGGAGATACAATTTACAAAATATTTTTATACTAACTTTAAAATTAAATCATCCCGCGGTGTACCGCGGGTTAAAATCTAGTAAGTATGGTAAGACAAAGTAAATTTTCAATTTTCATAAACTACTTCAAAATTATACAAAACCATATCATATACCAAATTTACTTTTAATTTGGTCATTATTCTTCAAATCCTAAGTAAAATCTGTAATAAATTAAACACCTTCAAAGAAAACCTAATTGCAGCTCCAATATAAATTGTTTTTTTTTGTCGAAATATTTTTTTCTATTTGGGTATACTAGAAATTAATAGTTGCAACGCGTCACAATACTTTATTTGACTTGTTTTGTTCAATGTAATATAAATTTTAAATTATTCACAAAATAAAAGAGCATCATATATTACTTACTTTGAAAAATAACTGGTTCTAATGAACTTAAAATTTAACCAAAAATAATTATTAAGTTTTATCTACAACTTTTAATATTTACTACTGTTAAATTTTTGAATTCTTCAAGCGTCATTGTCCATTCACAAAGCACGAAGTGCATTTTAATGACTTTAATAAATAAAAAATTATTCTAATACTTTGCTCAAAACTTTAATATTATAATATTCCAATCGTCTTACTAGCACATATCCATCATTTTCATATACTTCCTTATTCACCACATTTTCTAGTTATTCACACAGGAATAAGAGACGAACCGCATTCTGATATATTTTATTTTATATAACCAAAATGTTTTGAACCAAATGTAGATTAATCCCCGCCATCTATCAAAAAAAAAAAACTAAAAAGCCTTGTATTAAGATAAGGCATTTGAAACAAACTTATGCTATAGCTTTGAGTAAACCAGTAACTGTCTTTAAGTTACAAGAACCCATATGAAACAAACTTATGCTATGGCCGGTTATATGCATGTGCAACTAGTGCATTTGCACTAATATTCCAATCGTCTTACTAGCACATATCCATCATTTTCATATACTTCCTTATTCACCACATTTTCTAGTTATTCACACTATATGTAAAGGTCCCAAAATTCTATTTTAAAAGGTAATATTGAAGCCCAAAATTAATAAACAAAAACAATAGGTCCAAATAGCTATCAAAAAAAAAAACTAAAAAGCCTTGTATTAAGATAAGGCATTTGAAACAAACTTATGCTATAGCTTTGAGTAAACCAGTAACTGTCTTTAAGTCTCCTTCACAGAACCAAATTCTTCAATCATCTTTCAATGCTTCTTTAGCAGGCAATGATACATTTGTATGAGTCTATGAGAAAAACCTAAAAATCAAAATCACAAATGTTTTCTAAGATTCAAAAACCTGAATGAAACATGCCAAAAGATCATCGAAACAACTCATTGTTTTGATATATCACTCAGTGATGTAGATCGTCAGATTCACATTAAGTAAACCATTTGTTAGTCTTTTCGCAAGAACCACATAACTAATATATTTACCGCGGTTAGTCGTCCATAAAACATGCCATCAAAGCAAAGCATGTATGGTGGAGAATAGGTAAATAATGATGGTGAGCAACTCAGGAGATCATGTAAATGCTTCCCTCTAAATGGTGGTGATCGCATTAGTTCTTCCATACATGTTATGTAGTTGAGGGTCTCCCGGATAAAATCGACACAAAAGTTTTGTTTGGTAAAATTGGTTGCAAGAACCCATATGTCGCGATATGATTGGTAGCCAATTGTGATAAGAAGATGCATTCTAGAATTAGAGAGCTAAACAACAAGTGTAAAACTGTAAAAATCATCTCTATATTTGCAACAAAAGTTATCTAAACTTATAACGCAGATAACATTCCCTTAAAAATACAAACTTTATGTAAAATGTGAAATAATCAAATAAAAATAGGTATGGGAATGGGAGGGTCACGTCCACGTTCAGGTTCACGTCTTCTCTTGCGATTATTATACAAAACCAAAATGTTCTTATCTCACTTGCCTTTCTATTCCCGGATTTGCCGCTTTCTTCTTCTTCTTCTTCAACATCTCTCTCTCAAAATTGCCCTTTTAAAGTTGTCTCCTTTCTACGCAAAAGTGAACGCAGATCTTAATGCAGCTACTCTGATTTCGGTTTTTGGGTAATTTATTATTCCAGTGATTTGATTGGCTCTTCTCAGCATCTGGATTTTTGCAAAGGTACAATTTTTATTCTGTCTTTGGATTCGATTTGATCGATCTGCCGATTCTCTGTTTCTCCCGAGCTTTGTGGGTTGAGATCTCGATTATCCGCGAATCTTCAGAGTTTTGTTTTCATCGGAGCGGTTAATCGTTGGACTCGTTAGTGTTCTTCTCTTGAAAAAGAAAAACTTTGTGGAGAATCTGATTATAGGTATAGTGTGAAGTGAGTTTGAGCTGGATTCTGTAGATTTGGTTGATGATAAAGTCTTCTACTTTGATACCATATCTGACCATAGTCTCCAGATTCTTTATAGGATCTAGTTCGATATAAGATTATATATGTGCTTGCTTCAATAGTCTCTTCTTAGGTTCTTATGTTGTATTGTGTATTGATCTGGTTTCTCTGATTAAGGATTCAGCTTTTAGCTTCCTCTATTGGGTCATAGAAGACAAGATCTATTTGATTGGTTTCTTAATTGTTTAGCAGATTGAGTGCTTGATCATTATCTTTGTTTGATCTGTGTATTTGAATATCTCATTAGGATAAATCTAATTCGTGGCATCTCTTATTGATCCTGATAGCTTGCTATCCGAAGTTTCTTTTGGTTTTGTAACAGATTTTATGTTTATGCAGCATTCTTATTACTTCCACTGATTCAAACATGTGGAAGTTTAAACCGTTTACTCAAAAAGAACCTGCGGGTCTCGAAGGTCGATTTCTCGAAATTGGAAATCTGAAAGTTCAGGTTAGAAACGTCATTGCGGAAGGAGGTTTCTCCAGTGTTTACTTAGCCCAAGATGTAAATCACGCGTCAAAGCAATATGCTTTGAAGCACATCATATGCAATGACGAGGAGTCGCTTGAACTCGTAATGAAAGAGATCTCGGTTCTGAAATCTCTCAAGGGACATCCAAATGTTGTGACGCTCTACGCACATGGTATCTTGGATATGGGGAGGAATAAAAAAGAAGCTCTTTTGGCTATGGATTTTTGCGGCAAATCTCTTGTGGATGTGCTTGAGAATAGAGGTGCTGGTTACTTTGAAGAGAAACAAGCTCTTACAATTTTCAGAGATGTGTGTAATGCTGTCTTTGCAATGCATTGTCAAACCCCACGCATTGCTCACAGGTATACATGTTATATTATTAGATTTCCTTTCGATTTTACATTAGCAAGCGATATAAATTGAGATTATATTGGTGTTGCTAATTGTGACAGAGACTTGAAGGCTGAGAATCTTCTATTGAGCTCAGATGGACAATGGAAGTTGTGCGATTTTGGAAGCGTTTCTAAAAATCACAAGATTTTCGAAAGAGCAGAAGAGATGGGCATTGAAGAAGATAATATTAGAAAATACACAACACCAACATATAGAGCTCCTGAGGTTTGACTGGATATTGACCTATGCAGATTATAAGAGTTTTTAAAGTGGTTAAAAATGTGTGATTTATGTCTTTATTGGCAATAGATGTGGGATCTCTTTCGAAGGGAGATGATAAGCGAGAAGGTCGATATATGGGTATGTGATGACACTTTTTTCAATTTCTCCAGATTGTTAATCTATTAGGTTGAAACTTGAAAGTAAAGGTTTGTTTTTCTGTTAACTTTTAGGCTCTTGGATGTCTCTTGTTTCGGATATGCTATTTCAAGAATGCATTTGATGGAGAATCAAAGCTGCAGATCTTAAACGGGAATTATCGTATTCCAGAATCGCCTAAATACAGTGCATTTGTTACAGATCTCATCAAAGAAATGCTTCAAGCTTCACCCGACGAACGACCAGATATTACACAGGTTAAAACTCAAAATTTTGCTCATTACTTCTTCTCAGTTGATGAAATGTGCGATGTCTCTAACAACATGTCCATCTACAGATTTGGTTTCGTGTCAATGAGCAGCTTCCTGCTAATTTACAGAAATCATTACCGGATCGACCACCTGAAATGCAATCTACTGGAGTCCATGATGGTATAGTGTATAAAACCGAGTTTGGATAGCTTCTCAAAGAAATGTGATTTCTTTTGATCCTTGTAATTTTTGACAGGCTCATCAAAATCAGCAAATAAATCTTCTCCAGTACCTCGTAGAAGTCCGCCACCGCCGCCACCATCTTCTGGAGAATCAGATAGTGGAGGACCACTAGGTGCCTTTTGGGCGACTCAGCACGCCAAAACCTCGGTATTGTCAGAAGACAACAAAAGCATGCCTAAATTTGATGAACCAAACAGTAACACAACTAAATCTGAAAGAGTTCGTGTGGATAGTCAACATCCCAAGAAGCCTAGTCCTGTGAGAGGAGAGGTTCGTGGTATGAATTCTCAGAAGGATACAACTCCTGCTGCAACCAATAACAGGACAAGAGTGTCCAAGGATGACGCCTTTAACTCGTTTGTTGCTGACTTTGATACCACGAAGCTCGATAATGGTAATAAACCTGGAAAAGAAGAGGCGTTGGAAGCTGAGATAGAGAGGTTAAAAGACGAGTTGAAGAAAACAAATTCAGAGAAGGCTGAAATAACTGCTAAGTTTGAAAAGCTTTCTGCTATCTGCAGATCACAGCGGCAAGAGTTGCAGGATCTCAAACAATCCCTTGCTTCTAAAAGTGCCTCACCATCACCGAGCAGAGACTCTTCACAAAGTCAACCCTCTCCAGGGATGCATTCCATGTCATCAACTCCATCGGTATTATCCTGGTTCTTGTTCATCTAAGCTTAGACACCTATACACAAGTTTGCATCAATATATATCTTCTAATTCTAATTTTCTTGATGAAACAGAGAGATAAGATTGAAGGAACAATGTGGGAACTTCAACAGGACAGATCTAATTGGTCAACTGGCAGCTCGGATACAAATTCATGGCAACCTTTTAGTGATGAAGCGAAACCCGTGATGGAGTCTGCATCAAAGGGTAACAATAATACGATTAATCAGTCTGTGAGAACCAGAAGTAAACCAGCTTCTGCTGCAGGTACTCAAGGTTTTGAGGCATGGGGTTTTGAGACAGAATCCTTCAGAGCCGCTGCCACGTCTTCAGCTACTACTGCTTCTGCAACACAAAGATCTATGGGCTCTGGAAACAACACTTCACAGAGATATGGGAACTCAAAGATGAGAGATAACCAGAAAACAGCTCAACCTGCTGGATGGGCTGGCTTCTAAAACTCACTCAGATGCTCATTACTATATCTTCCTCTTGCAACAACAACAGCTTCATGTTGCTGCCATTACAGAATCTTGAATCCTTTTTTGTAGATGATGATCATCCCCTGTTTTTGTGCTGCTAAATATACCCCACCCATATCCAGTATTTTTATGTAGAGTCTTGAACTTTACACATCTGGTTCCACTTCTCTAAGCTGTGGCCAAATATCTCAGCTTTTGGATTATTAAACATAAATACCGTATTGGGAAAAAAAAAGATTCATACAGCTTCCACTTCTTTCTGTTAAATCAAAATTCACCAATTCATATATGCAATCTAATTTTTGTTACAACTTAGAGCTAAGGTCACATTTTAAACCAAATCCAACCAATCTAAAATTGTTCACGGATCACGGTGGTTACACTACGGTTAAGCGTTAACCAAAAAGATTTCAGGCCTTTTACTAAATCAGGTCAATTTTTCTGAACATCACAATTGTGACTTGTACAAAGCTGGAATTTGAATTTTCCTTTTAAATTTATTTTGGAAATGGGCTTTTTTAACTTGAAAACTTCGTTACCGGTAACCTCAAATTGAACCGGACCCGAATAGAAAGAAATAAAAGTAAGAAAACCGAACCAAAACATCAAATACCGACCGATCCCTAGTTAGAAGAACATCAAGTAAAGGAGTTGGTGTCCGAAAATAAAGCTACCAAATTTTGAATCGTTGCCTTCATTTTGATTTTCCCCAAAGTTCTCAGAAATAAAAAATCCTCCGCAACAATGTCCACTCCCGATCCCAATCCCAATCCCAATCCATCCGTCTCTGTCGCTGTATCGAGTCCAATCGTCACCGCATCCGAATCTCCGGTGACTCAACCTAACACAGTCAAAACGCCGTCTTCTCAGCCTCAACCTCCACCACCAGCTCCTTCGTACAGAGCTATAGCTCCGCTTCATCGTCATCCTCATCCTCATCAAAATGTCTACTCTCATCCTTTACCGATTAGGCGTTCGAATTCCGTTACTAATTCGCCTCATCAGCCTCACCCAGACCCATCTAGTCTGATTTACCCGTTTGGTTCTTCGGGTCGAGGGTTTCCGACCCGACCCGGTAGACAGAATTCCAATTCCGTCGCTGATCCAGTTGGTAGTCCTGGTGGGTATCCTCCTCGGCCGGTTTATGGATACCACCAACATGGCCAATTCGGGTCGAATTTGGATCCAGTGCTTCAGCAGTTAATGAGAGCTGCACATCTTCAGAATCAACAATCTCCTCAACTTGGGTCGGGTCATATGAAAGGAGTTCCTCATTTTTTGCAACCTCGGGTTAGTTATCGTTTTGTGAACGAAAAAAGTTTGATTCTTTGTGTTAATTCTATAGTTTTGTCAAGTGCTTTGTTTTGTGTGTTTCATATGTTTTAGCTTTTGTGGTGGTTAGTGAAAAGGTTTATATTGAAGCTTATTTGCTTAGTGATTGTAGAATTCGAATAGCAATCTCTAATGAATTTGGAAAGGTTGAAACCTTCTGTTAGATCTCAGCTAGTGTTTAAGTTGTTTTTACTCTTTTGTGTGAGGTTACATCTTGTAAAATTTGGATTTTTGATTGTTAGGTTACTCCTTCTCCAACTTCAATTCTAGACAATAGTGGGCATAAGAAGGCCAGGTACTATCTTCTTCTTTTCTACTATGCTTTGTTAATTAGAATCTACTCTAGAAACTTAATGCTTGTTTCTTTATAATGGTGTTTAGGAGCCGGGATGATGCTCTGGTCCTTGTTAGAAAAAGAAAGGTAAAAGTTTTTTTTCCTTATCTATTTGGTTTTGCATTATCGTTCGAAACTGCTTGCATCGTCATTTGAGAAATTTTTATATACTTTTTATTTGTTTTGCAGGTTAGAATAACCGAGGGAGCTTCTTTATACTCACTGTGTAGATCTTGGTTGAGAAATGGTGCTCATGAGGGAATTAAGGTTTGCATCGCTATCTATTTCTGCTTTGTAGTATAATGCAGCACTTGGCTTTTTATAGATCTATTCTTGACATAATTAAAGATTAAGGGACGGTACCTTTGGAAGATTAATGACGTTGTTTACAGCCGCAGCGAAGTGATACGATGACATGTTTGCCAAAGCCTTTGCCTGTGGACATGACGGAGACAAGCTTGCCAAAAGAGGTAGTTGAAGAACCAAATCGCGAAGAAGACAAAGAGGTTTTGTGTTTCTCTGATTCCTCCTTTCTAAAATGTTAATGTTGAAGGGTAAAGCTAAGTTTGATTATTTACTTCAACTCTTTGATGAGCTTCAGGACGAGGAATCTGTGAAACATTTGTCAGAATCTGATCTGTTGAAAAGACATATAGACCGAGCTAAGAAGGTCCGCTCTCGGTGAGTCCCACAACATACATCAAAGCAAAGTTCGGTGGTTGAAGATTGACTATTACTTGTTTTGAACAAAGTTTTGTGGTTTGTTTTGTTTTCAGATTGAGAGAAGAGCGGTTAAAGAGAATTGCGAGGTACAAGGCAAGATTGGCTCTTCTTCTGCCACCATTTGGAGAGCAATGCAGGAACGAGTAAGGATATAGTAGGGACTTCTGTGAATATTCTTGCAGTTGATTTAGAAATGATACAAAGTACCTTAGAGCCAGAGTTATGTGTGTGTAATATAAGAAAGGTTTTCTCTAAACTAATCAACTATCTCAAGATTTTCTGAGATAGTTAACTTGTACTGCCTCTGTTTCAAAATACTTGATGTTTTTGAAATTTTTTTATGTTTATATTAAGTGATGTTTTCACTATTCTATACTAAATTTATTAATTTTTAATGTTTTGTTTTTACTATTTGTATTTTACAGTTTATTTTATCATTGGTTGAATTGTGATAAGGTAAATAATAAATGATGTTTTTATTTAGAGAAAGATAAGAATTAAATGGTAATATGCGCAAAAACTTTAAATATCAAGTATTTTGAAAGAGGGACTAGCTCTTATCTTGTTTTTTTTGTCCTTACTTTTTAAATTCATAAATTGGTTTTTCCCTCTATTCGTAGTTTTTTTTTTTTAAGGATGTTTTATAATATAAAACGGGCATCATTAAAATGTTTTACAAAACAATTAAAAAAAAAAAAGGAGAAGCAAACAACTATTAACAATCAAGATGAAGTCATTTTGACCATGAATATCTTTGATAAGCATGAATCCTTATCTAATGATGATTGAACAAATTGAATTAGGAAAGTTTGCTCGGACCAATCCATTTTTTTTGTCTAATTTGGTGCGTCTCTATAAAGAGTGTTTGGTCGATCATATCTAGAGGCATATATAGTCGATTACAACGAGGTTGTAGAGTTGGATCTTTGAGTTTGGCCAGGATGGACGGCCGATCATTTTTGTTTTATTATCTTCAAGTGGTCGATCATGTTTTCGTTCAAACACGTGTGGTTTTTTTTAAAGAAGTTATTTTTTCGGAATAGTTTTGGGTCATGGTCGGTCGACCATGTTTTGAACGCTGGATCGATCACCATGTGGCCGGATGATCATAATTTGAGAGACTGATCGCCAAACCCTAGAAGCACGAACACATTTAGTCATTTGTATGCCATTTTGAATTCTCTTTCACTTATTTGTTACTTCCAACGCCTAAATGAATGTCACAAAAACTATCAAAAACATTACAACCTAATCTAAGACTTCCTAAGACGCACAAATACTCATTTGGACACTCAATATTTTAAAAAATAGTAAAAACTCCTAAACGAAACAGGAAAATGCAAATGCAAATATTGAAAAGCAAAAAAAACGGAACAATTCACTAAACCCTTTCAATTATGTTGGGGAGGAAAAGACTGTTTTATTAGTAGTATATTGAATTGTGTTTGGAGATATCAGATTTTTTTTTTGTCTTTTTTTTATCAGATTTAAAACAATTGTAGGTTAATTAATCTCGTGGACCAATAGCATGAGTTGCAGAGTCAACGCAACAAAAGCATCTTTCAAACACAGGTTTATTTTGTTTTGATCGTCTAATTTGGAGATTAATGGTTCTTTACGCATTCCAAACTGTCTAAATAATGTTAATATTCTTTTCGTATTTGTTACTCCAATTCTCGATTTCGGTATAATTTAAATTCTATCAATAAAAGTGTTAATAGTTATAAAAGAATTGATGCTTACGTTCGTGTCTAAACACCTGTGTAACGTTGCTTATTACATCATGAGGCAAATATATTACTATTCATTTTCGTGTTGAAAGCTCTTGAGAGTTTTTTTTTTGTCCCAAGACATTGCGAAGAATTACTTTTTCTAGTCGTTATTTGTATCATAAATTTAGTCAGAGATGTTGACTTCAACCTACATACGTGCTTGACTCAACCTAGTTTGTTAATAAAATTATCCAAAACCATAAAAATCTTAAAAATATAAAAGAGAAGGATGTGAACACTTCTTTTTGGTTGAGGCCAAAAAAGAAGAAAAAAAATGTGAAACAAAGATCAGACTTCATCCAATTATTACAAAAATCTATTATCAGTCTTGAGCAGTTCAATTCATCTATTGAATTACTAAAATTTGAGGACTGATCATAGATAGTTCTAGAGAAAATCAATTTGAGGAGTGTTAAATTGAATGAAATATGGAAGGAAAGTGAGAGAAGAAATCGACCTCATCAAAAGGTGTTGTATTCATTAAAGTTTCACGTTGGTATATTTAAAATTAATTTTTTGTAAGGTATATTCTTCTAAATGTTCTTTTTGTTTCTAGACTTCTCTCCAGACTCCACTTCCACTTCAGCGTTTAATAGTTTAAAGTTTCCACCTCATGCATGTGTTATGTGTACATATTTCTATACATTCTTATTTTTAAGTAAACTATATATCTTGTAAAATAGTAACTTTTATAATTAAGAGTAAGTTGGTTTAACAATAAATTGAATATACGTTTTTTAATTAAAATGGTAGTGAATTGATTAGTTTAAGAATAGAACCAAAACCAAGCTTAATTAAGTTAGATTGATTCCTCACGTTTCAACAGGAAATCTTAGGTTCTTGGCCTCACGCATACTTTTCCTTGACTCTTTCAAAAAAAGACAACCTTTGACAAATCGCTCATAAATTGCATTTAATTTTACATAGATAATTGTACTCACTGTCACATGCATGTTCACAATATCTTGACTATATAATTACATTTATAAATACTAGCCTATGTGATCAAGAATTGGTGTACCAAGATTGTTCTCTCAGGTGAGTAAACAACAGAAAAAAAAAATGGCGAGGAAAGGGAAAGAAGTGTTGAACGCTTTGGACGCGGCCAAAACGCAGATGTACCATTTCACAGCGATTGTAATCGCGGGTATGGGTTTTTTCACTGATGCTTACGATCTTTTCAGCATCTCTCTCGTCACCAAGCTCCTCGGCCGCATATACTACCACGTTGATGGCTCCAAGAAGCCTGGAACGCTCCCCCCAAATGTTGCTGCCGCTGTTAATGGTGTGGCTTTCTGCGGGACCCTCGCTGGCCAGCTCTTCTTCGGTTGGCTCGGTGACAAGCTCGGCCGCAAGAAAGTTTACGGTAACCTTTGCTAATTTCTTGGCCTTTAAATATGTTCCAGTAGTTTAAAATGTTCCATTAGTTACAAGAAAGTAATACACCATATAGATTAAGTATCTAGTTGCCGTGAAATAAGCCTTTTCTTTTGGTTGTGAATTATTGGAATGCATAGGTATTACCTTGATGGTCATGGTACTATGTTCACTCGGGTCTGGTCTATCATTCGGTCACTCAGCTAACGGAGTAATGGCCACACTTTGTTTCTTCCGGTTCTGGCTTGGTTTCGGCATAGGCGGCGACTACCCTCTCTCCGCCACTATCATGTCGGAATACGCCAACAAGAAGACACGTGGCGCGTTCATAGCAGCCGTCTTTGCTATGCAAGGCTTCGGAATCTTAGCCGGAGGAATCGTGTCTCTCATCGTCTCGAGTGCATTCGACCATGCGTTCGACGCACCCACCTACGAAGTTGATCCGGTTGGGTCCACTGTTCCTCAGGCGGATTACGTGTGGCGGATTGTGCTCATGTTTGGAGCTATTCCGGCGTTACTTACTTATTATTGGCGGATGAAGATGCCGGAAACTGCTCGGTATACCGCTCTTGTTGCCCGGAATACCAAACAAGCCGCCTCCGATATGTCTAAGGTACGTTCCTAAACTAAAACTTGTAACCATTTAATTTCATCATATACTAAACCATGATGATTAGTAATACAAATTCATAATTATTATTTACACAACAGGTGCTTCAAGTGGATCTAATTGCAGAAGAAGAAGCACAACCAAATCAGTCATCTTCATCAAACCCTAATTCCTCCTTCGGCTTATTCTCCAGAGAATTCGCTCGCCGTCACGGCCTCCACCTTCTCGGAACAACCACCACGTGGTTCCTCCTCGACATCGCCTATTACAGCAGCAACCTCTTCCAAAAAGACATCTACACCGCAATCGGATGGATTCCCGCCGCCGAAACAATGAACGCAATCCACGAAGTCTTCACCGTCTCCAAAGCTCAAACCCTAATCGCTCTTTGCGGCACCGTCCCTGGTTACTGGTTCACCGTCGCATTCATCGATATACTCGGTCGATTCTTCATCCAATTGATGGGATTTATCTTCATGATGATCTTTATGTTCGCTTTAGCGATTCCTTATGATCATTGGAGACATAGAGAGAATCGAATTGGTTTTTTGATTATGTATTCGTTGACGATGTTTTTCGCGAATTTTGGACCCAATGCGACGACGTTTGTTGTTCCTGCTGAGATATTTCCGGCGAGGTTGAGATCGACTTGTCATGGGATATCGGCGGCTTCTGGTAAGGCGGGAGCGATTGTTGGAGCTTTTGGGTTTCTTTACGCGGCGCAGAGTTCGGATTCGGAGAAGACTGATGCTGGTTATCCTCCTGGGATTGGTGTTAGGAATTCGTTGTTGATGCTTGGTTGTGTTAATTTCTTTGGGATTGTTTTTACTCTGTTAGTTCCGGAATCGAAAGGGAAGTCTTTGGAAGAGATTTCGAGAGAAGATGAGGAACAGAGCGGCGGAGATGCGGTGGTGGAGATGACTGCAGCAAATTCCGGTAGAACAGTTCCGGTGTGATTCTTTTTTTGTGATACGCATTTTGTAATTTTGATATATGAAAGTCCTTTGAATAAAGATGTTAGACACTACTTAAACAGTTTTGCTGGAATTCAGATAAACATGTTTTGCTGGAATTCTTGCCGCCAAAATACTCTGTGAATTGGAAAGTATTGTCACTTTTAAGGATACAATCTTACTTCCTATAGAGCACCATTTATGTTTTTGGAAAGACAGATTCATGAGTCTATTAGTCTGTTATGGAACAATGCCTTCACATGCAAGTCATATTCCTCTGTCTTTGTCCAGTGTCAAGGAGCTTTGCAGTCAATAAACCTGTCAAGGGACTATTTCTAAAGGACTTGAGACACTCTCGTTTTTGACGTACTAAATGTGTCTCCTGCCAACATCATAAGCAACAAGACGACGAAGAGGAAGAATTGCTGAACTAGAAAGCAGTGGCGATAAGAATGGTTCATCAAGATAAATGGTCGTATAAAACCATTAGGATCAATTCTTGGTTTGTGTTTCAGCATTGAATACCTACCAGACCAAATGGTTTTATTTGTTTTTAGTCTGCTATTATGGACTATCCTCTTTTGTGTTGCTTAGGCCTCAAGTTCGTTTTCTCTTGTCTTCTCTGTTTTACACTACGGACTCTGTTTTATGATGATAGCGATGGAACAAAAGAGACAAGAGCTCCATTATGCATAAGAATTAATTTCCATTATAGTTGCTTTTCATGTCGTTCAAATTAAACTCTATTTTCATGAATTTGCATAAACAAAAGAAAAACACATTCCACTTGAATCAACACACCGAGAGATTATGAAAATCCTTATATAATATATTCACAACTCATTAACTCATAACATTGTTTGCTTTTATGTAATGGAATTTAATAATTGGAAACTACACTACTCTAGTTTACAAAACGAATAAACAACCAAAACTTTCAAGTCACAATCCTACTAATTTTCATCCCTTGTCTTCCGCAGATTATCTGATGACACTACTCAGTGTTCTTGATCTCTAATGTTCTGCCTCCAATGGTGAAGAAGTGCTAATGCGGAATTGCATATCTTTCTATCTTTGTGCTTTGTGAGACGCTCAAGCTTCACCATGATTTGCCTTGTTTCAGTAGCTGTTGAGATGATGGGGAATTCCATGAGTAAAGAGAGAGTGTCTACGCAGATTGATGCCTCTTCTTTAGCCGCGAGAATTCCCTTTGCATTGGCAACATCAGCTGACTTCTTGGCCATATCGAACAGCTCCAACATCTCCGTTGAGTTCGTCTTGACAAAAGGACAATTTTTAGAGTTTTCAAATGCTTTCACCGGTTGATGCTTCTTCAACTTGAGAGGAGGCCTTGATGTTGGTGGAAGAGACTTGCAAAAGTCAGGTTTCTTCAAAAATTTCTTAATCACTATCGTTTCACGAGCCCCGGAGCTAGGGTTTCCAGAAACTTTCATTGGTAGAGCCGATGATTGCTTCTTCTTCTGGATAGTCCTCATCAATCCAAAAGACTTGCAATCACCAGTTTGTCTCACCTCTCCGGTTTCATGAATCCTAGAACTCTCATCTTCGTTCTTCTTCATCCCACAAAAACCAGTCTCTTTCAGCTTACTATTAACCGCAAAGCCATGAGATAGCTGATCTTCTTTCTTCTTCTTCAACTCCGAACACACTTTAACAACATCAACTTTCTTCAGTTTCAGGGGAATAGCTTTGTTGCAAGTAGAAGAGTTTCGTCCACTGGAATAAAGAGTCTTCATCCAAGAGTTGAACAATAAGTTAGTTTCCATTCGTATCTTAGGGTTGTCGTGATCCCTTAGACTCTCCAAAGGAAGTATCACTTTAGAATGGGAAAGATCTTTGACCGAGAGATTCAAACTCTTCATGTGTCGAAGAACATCAAAGCAACGTTCAAAATCAGAAACATTCTGCGAATCAGAAGCTCTAATTGCAGCAGATACCAAACGAGGAAGATCTGATCTCTCTGTTGCAAACGCAATCTTCATCATCATCATCTTCTTCTTCAAGTGTTTCTCGGTTGGTCTTTAGGGTTAAAAACTCACAACTTTGGATATCAAATTATGGAAAGTTAGAGAGGTATTGTTCGTGTATTGGATAACATATAGACTGTAGAGACTTAGAAAAAAAAAAAGGAAATATATGGAAGTTTCCTTTTGTCCCAAGAAAGTTAATCCTAGACAAAGTCTCAGTTGGACTGGAAACCGACGTCGTTTGTGACAATGTTTCCTTTTTTTTTTTTTGGCCTGAGGGTAATCAGCCCAGGAGATTGTAATTATACACAAAGATCTTGTTGTTGCTTCATTAATTGCGTTTTCCTTACGTTACAGCTGTCAAATTAATTTATTTGCTGTTGTTAAATTTACTTTATTCTGGGGCTATGTTGCAATTTTATAAACTTTCGGGAAATTATAGCATTTAGTAGAAATACAAGGGTATCATCCGAAAAGGATTACAAGCTTGGGGAAGTTCGTCTTCTTCCTTAGAGAGATGCATAAAAAGGAAAATCTGTGGACTTTGATGAGCTTTACTTCAATGGCAGAGTCAATTCGAATTATTTCGCTTCAATGGCAGATACTGTCACTGATCATCGCTTTACTTGTGTATTTTCCGATCGTCTCGGGAAGTTTCTTTAAACCGTTCAATGTGAGCTACGACCACCGGGCTCTAATCATCGCCGACAAGAGGCGCATGCTCGTCTCCGCTGGAATTCACTACCCTCGCGCTACTCCTGAAGTAACTAAGACCTTTCTATTTTCAGTAGCTCGATAGTTTCGTTGAAATGCTAATTTTAGAATAACTGCTCTTTCTGTAGTGAAATTGATTGCGTCGTTAATAATCTTGAAATTGGTTTCAGATGTGGTCTGATCTAATCGAAAAGAGTAAAGAAGGTGGAGCTGATGTGATTCAAACTTATGTGTTTTGGAGCGGCCACGAGCCTGTAAAGGGTCAGGTTAGCCAAATTTCCTCTGTGTCCTGTCTTGATTTAGTTAAAACTGGAAGTTTTGATGTTTCTTTTCTATGGCTTTGTTCAGTATAACTTTGAAGGAAGATATGATCTTGTCAAATTTGTGAAGCTTATTGGATCAAGTGGTCTTTATCTCCATTTACGCATAGGTCCTTATGTTTGTGCTGAGTGGAACTTTGGGTAATTTCTACTTCACAACCATTGGCGTCTCTGAAATTTCTTTGTTATTCGGCTTTCTCTTTATTCTTTTTTTCTTCAATTCTTGTTAGGGGGTTCCCAGTGTGGTTGCGTGATATTCCTGGCATTCAGTTTCGAACAGATAATGAGCCCTTTAAGGTACATTTTTGATTTGAATACTCATTTCACATTTTCTTTGTTATTGTACTTTCTAAGTTGTGTTTTAGTTTTGTTATCATCTAAAGATAATCATAGCTTTTCTGTTTGCTATTTTCCAGAAGGAGATGCAGAAGTTTGTAACGAAGATTGTGGATTTGATGCGAGATGCAAAGCTCTTCTGTTGGCAAGGAGGTCCCATAATCATGCTGCAGGTCATATGAGAATTTTGTATTTTTTTTAACTTTATATCCAAAGCAGTGAGCTTTCTTTCTTTTCATAGTCTTCCTATAAAGGTGACGATTATGCGTATGTTGGTGACAGTCTCTGGCATTCTTTCTTCGCTGACATGACTTGTCTCGGACTTGTCTTGAATGTTGTAAAATTAATGTAGCTTGTTGAATGAGAATCCCATCGACTGAAATATTCTTATACAGATCGAGAATGAATATGGGGATGTTGAAAAATCGTATGGGCAGAAGGGAAAGGATTACGTCAAATGGGCAGCTAGCATGGCGCTAGGGCTTGGTGCTGGTGTTCCATGGGTTATGTGCAAGCAAACGGATGCTCCAGAGAATATTGTAATATTGCTAACTTGATTTTTGTGTATTAAGATGTCTCTGCTTTTAGATGACTTCTAAACCAATTTCCATTGATTTCCTTTAGAATTTAAAAAGGGTTTATCTTTCAGTTCATAATATATGATTCCCTGTTCTCTAAAACCATCCTTTTGACGTCTGTTAATCTCTTTTTGTCTCAGATTGATGCATGCAATGGATACTATTGTGATGGTTTTAAACCAAATTCGCAGATGAAACCAATACTTTGGACTGAGGATTGGGATGGATGGTATGTTTTTTGTCATGCAGTCTTCTGACAACGCTTTGCTCTTATCAAAGAAGTGTTTTCTTGAAGTTTTTGTTTCAAGGCCAATGTACCAGTTGGCCTTAATTGTTATGTTAATTGGTATTTGGACTAAATGAGTATGTTAGGTTGACTTTTTGAAGGTACACTAAGTGGGGTGGAAGTTTGCCTCACCGACCTGCTGAAGATCTTGCATTTGCAGTTGCAAGATTTTATCAGCGTGGAGGAAGCTTTCAGAATTATTATATGGTACAATAATTACACACTAGATTTTTTTTATATTTCTTTTTCACTTTCTCCTGCCCAAGTTCATTTGCAGCAGCATCTTGCTAGTTACTTTACATCCCTCTCGTAGAACCCTCAAAAGGCGAACTATGTAGGAGATACTTTACGCAACTTGCAGAACTTGTTTTTACTCAACTTGATTATAGAATGCCTATGATAAGCATTCACTGCTTTCAATCTGTTTGTGCTTCATATATTGATGAGTCTGTTTTATTGTTGCAGTATTTTGGTGGAACAAACTTTGGTCGAACTTCTGGTGGTCCTTTCTATATTACAAGCTATGATTATGATGCTCCTCTTGATGAATATGGTGGGTAAAAGCTAAGGCTAGCAGGGAAGCAGATTGCTAAGAAAAAAAACTTATTTTTCTAATGAAATTTTGTTTGTCATATACTAAGGTCTGAGGAGCGAGCCAAAATGGGGGCATCTAAAGGACCTTCATGCTGCCATAAAACTTTGTGAACCTGCCCTTGTCGCGGCGGATGCACCTCAGTATAGAAAACTGGGATCAAATCAGGAGGTGTTATCCTACTCCCAAATGCTTGTTTCATATAGTGACATTAGTAGAGCTCACTCTTCTTATCTAGTTAGTTTATAATAGATTGGTGCTGTTAGATAGATTTCCTACCGGTTTGATTCTTACTCTACTTTACCTGTCAAGATCTTCACTTAGTTCTGATATAAGGATAGTCTTCATTGCCATCTATTGGATGTTTTCAAAGGTTTTCATTGTTTAGTTGTACGTATAGATATGATTTATCTACTGAACAAAATACTGGGCTGTTATTTGATTACCTTTTAGAATGAATATGAGGTTTAATATTATATATGCTTAGGATTCCAGATACTTACTTGTAAATAACGCAAATTCCAGGCACACATTTATCGTGGAGATGGTGAGACTGGAGGAAAGGTGTGTGCTGCATTTCTCGCAAACATTGATGAGCATAAATCTGCACATGTGAAATTTAATGGCCAGTCATATACTTTACCACCTTGGTCAGTGAGTATATTGCCAGACTGTCGACATGTGGCCTTCAACACTGCCAAGGTTTGATTTCCATTTCTACCCGTGTTGTAAAGTTTTTTGACTGGTAATTGCTTGTGCAATTCTGAAAAGGTTTTTGTTGGCAGTTTTTGCACATTCAGTGATATGCTTCTTTGTGACTGAATTCTTAAAAAACTGTCAATGTTGGAAAATAATAATAACAATGAAAGGAAGGTGACACCCGTCAAATATCGTTGCTTTGAACTTGACATGTCTGTCTTAATCAGGAAATTGGCTTTTTTATTTGCTTCAGATAGTAGTTGCCACCAAAGATGATTGGTTTTGTCTGTTCTTGAGCAGGTAGGAGCACAAACTTCTGTTAAAACGGTGGAGTCTGCAAGGCCATCTTTAGGTAGTAAGTCTATACTGCAAAAAGTCGTGAGGCAGGATAATGTTTCTTATATCTCAAAATCATGGATGGCTCTGAAAGAACCTATTGGCATATGGGGTGAAAACAATTTCACTTTCCAAGGATTATTGGAGCATTTGAATGTTACAAAAGACCGGTCTGATTACCTGTGGCATAAGACAAGGTAGATATGCGGAGTTGTCTATTTCATGATCTAACTAACAACAATCATTCAAGGGAAAGAATTCCTAAAAGATAGATACTCATGATGCTTTTACATCAAAATTTGACTGAATTAGTTATTGTCTGTTGTATGTATACTTTGCCAGTTCAATATGCTAGAGGAATTTGGTACTATGAAATCTATGACATTTACTAATTCTTTATCTTTTAACTGTAATGAATTTTTCTTTCTTTCTCAACCAAATGTAGAATAACTGTATCTGAAGATGATATCTCGTTCTGGAAGAAAAATGGAGCTAATCCAACAGTGTCAATTGATAGCATGAGGGATGTGTTGCGTGTGTTTGTTAACAAACAACTCTCAGGTAATTTACAACACTCTCTCCTGCTTTTTATGCATGTCTGTAATTGTACAAATGCACTGCTCCTGTATTTCGTCTGTGCGTGGTTGTGTATACTGGCTATTGTGGTTCTCTGTGTCTATCTACACAAGAGGGTCACATTGCATTTATAAAGTGCAAAGCTTTTTAAATTGTTTTCTCCCATCTTGTGCTAACTTTGTCCTCCTGCTGAATGGAAGTAAAGGCAGTGTTGTTGGTCACTGGGTGAAGGCAGTGCAGCCTGTACGTTTTATGCAGGGAAACAATGATTTACTTCTGTTGACTCAAACAGTTGGTTTACAGGTTAATATCTACTACCTAATTTCTCCTTTTATCTTTTTTCTTACAGCTAATTGTGATCATTTTCGACTTTGTGGCACAGAATTATGGTGCTTTCTTGGAGAAGGATGGAGCCGGTTTTAGAGGCAAAGCAAAGCTTACTGGATTCAAGAATGGAGATATGGACCTGGCCAAATCTTCATGGACCTATCAGGTGTAGTTAAGGTGTACAATATATAGTTTTTATACGAGTCCTAAGAAAGATGAACGTTGTGGATTCATTTTTTCTTTCTATCGCTATATCTGAAATCTCAAGGTTATTGTGGAAGCATTTGAATATGTTGGCGTTTGTTGTAGGTGGGATTGAAGGGCGAGGCTGAGAAAATATATACTGTTGAACACAATGAAAAAGCTGAGTGGAGTACTTTGGAGACTGATGCTTCACCTTCGATCTTTATGTGGTACAAGGTAAATCTGTGAAACATGTTGGCGTTTTGTTTTCTGTTTCTCCGAAGAAGAAGATATTTTTTTATTGCCATCCCTTATTCATCTTGTGATCTTTGTTCATTTGTTTTCTCCTTATTGAATTAGACATACTTTGACACCCCTGCCGGAACAGATCCTGTTGTTCTTGATCTAGAAAGTATGGGAAAGGGACAAGCTTGGGTCAATGGACACCATATTGGAAGGTATTGGAATATCATTTCCCAAAAGGATGGATGTGAAAGAACCTGTGATTATCGTGGAGCCTACTATTCAGATAAGTGCACAACAAATTGTGGAAAGCCTACACAAACCAGGTAATGTGCATGTAATAACTCCTCAATAACTATTATAACCCATGGTACTGACATAATATCATTGTTCAGGTACCATGTACCACGTTCGTGGTTAAAGCCGTCCAGTAATCTACTTGTGCTCTTTGAAGAGACTGGGGGAAACCCATTTAATATATCGGTTAAGACAGTTACTGCTGGGATTCTGTGCGGTCAAGTCTTGGAATCGCATTATCCACCTCTGCGGAAATGGTCCACACCAGATTACATAAACGGAACGATGTCGATAAACAGTGTGGCACCAGAAGTGTATCTGCATTGTGAAGATGGGCATGTAATATCCTCCATAGAATTTGCTAGCTATGGGACTCCAAGAGGTAGCTGCGACAGGTTTTCTATAGGGAAATGTCATGCATCCAACTCATTATCAATCGTCTCTGAGGTAAAGTTATATTAACTAGAAGTTGGTATTTAAGCATACTTCTACCTGCAACATTGGCAACCGACTCAAACATACGAAGGAATCTAAAAACCGATGACAGGAAACCTAATTCCAATTTGATAATTTAAAGTTGAGCTTATGATGATCCTAATTTCTTAAGCAAGCTAGTAGAAAGATTTTGGTTACAAATTGTTGACATATAGCTCTAAAATAGGTTCGTAGCAATTGCGTAATATGACTGTTGCGACTATCCAAAAAAGTCTTTGATCTCTTCTGCAGGCTTGTAAAGGACGCACCAGTTGCTTCATCGAAGTGTCAAATACTGCTTTTCGCAGTGACCCATGTAGCGGAACTTTAAAGACGTTAGCGGTTATGGCACGATGTTCCCCGTCTCAAAACACGAGTGATCTTAGTTTTTAGACACCGGAAAGCGGCTCAGAACGATGAACAGCTGTTTCACGAAGAAAAAGGAGACCATTGATTAAAGAAGAACATGTCCCATCACAAGCTTTCTTTGACCTTTATATTTCAGAGTTCAGACTCTGAACAATTGTGTTTGCTCTTGTTCATTGGTGTATCCAAACTCTACTTGGAACCAATAAACAGACTCGAAACCATCTCTAAGGTTTCTGCTTGTACTGTTGTTTGAGTATAAGAAAATAGTCGAAGTTGCTGTAATGATTTAGATCTCAGTGGTTTTAAATGCAAATATTTATGTTTATCTTTGCTACGTTTAATATTGCAAACAAAGTTAACTTTTGTATGTTTGTGTTTACGTTTAATTTGTTTAGGGTAGTAACCGTTTCAAGTTTTATTTAAAGTTTTCACCGTTTAAAATACAAATACCAAAAATCTTTACAATTTTGTTATGTAACCAAAAATAGTGCTGGCATATTCACAAACCTTCCAAAAAATTGATTTATCTATTTTAAATATTATAAAACAAACTATCAACAAAAAAAGAAAAAAAAAAAAGATGATGATGACAAATGAACTCCATGAATATGCATTTTTCCCAGGCATATGTAACAACATAAGTTTGTTAACCAACTCTTGTCTGATTATAAATTTTTGAAACATTGTATACAAAAATTACTCACTAATTCTTGTAGCAAAGCACAAAAGTAGTTAAGAATAAAATTTACAAAAAAAAATGGTTGCATACAAGAAGAGTCCTATTGTTTTTCTATTTGCTACAATGATGATTATCTTATTTATGTTTTGTGGAAGTGGAGAAACAAGAACATTAGGGTACGGAGCTATTAAAAGAGGCCAAGTTCCGGCATGTGGCTCTAAAAACCCCAATTCATGTGTCAAACAACCAGTTAACCATTACCATAGAGGTTGTGAAAAACTTACCAGGTGTGCTCGTGATGCTGACTCCTTCCATGTCGATGAAACATTTATTAATCTCCATTGAAATCGAATTTTTACTCTCGTTGATACTACAAAAGATTCATATATTCTGTGAGTATATGCATATACCTAATTATCATTCTATTAAATGTGAAAGAGTATTATTTTATTAATTTGTGTTCTTATGTAAAGTCACTAATTGTTGTCTTAAATTTTTATGTATTGTATGATTTTTTCCGAGATTATTTTATTTATTTGTTTATAAAATATTTAATGAAAATATAAATTATGTGTGGCTACTCTTTCTCTAGATGTGTCTTAAGGAATGAAAGGAAAAAAAACAAAATTTTGATGACAAATTATTTTGTGATATGAATGAAATTGTGGTTTAGATGAATTTCGTCCAAGAATGTTTAATGGAAAGCTTTCTATCTCTCAATAGAACCATCAGGATGAGATCAAAAATCTTTTTTAACATAATAAACAAAGATAAATTACATGAACATTCCTAACATTTCCCTCAACCATTTACTCAATGAATCCCAAGCGCTTGCATTTGTCTAATCATCAACATAGAGGAATCATACATTTGCTTGCGGCTAACGTCACCTTCCTTTCCTCCTTCCTCTTCAAAGAACCTCTCGCTTCCATCCAATATACTCACAACTTGGCTAATGCTAGGCCTTAACTTCGGATCGGTTCGCGTGCAAACCAACCCTAACCGTAATAGCCTTGCCAATTCTCGATTCTCGTACTCGTCATCCAAATGAATATCTGCAATCTCCTCCAAGATTTTTTTCCGGTTACCAACTATTTCGCGGATTCTCAACACCAAAAGAGCATCTTCTTTTTTCCTCTTGTAATCCACTGCGGGCTGCCCCGTAACCATCTCGAGCACCACGACGCCGAAGCTGTATACATCTGCCATGGTTGTAGCCTCGCCTGATTCCATATATTCTGGTGCCATATAACCGAAAATCCCTTGAGCGGATCCTTTCTTTTTTGTAGCTTGATGAGCTTTGTCGTTTCTAGACAAAAACTCTGCCAATGCGAATCCGCAGAGCCGCGGATTCATGTCTCTATCAAGAAATATAGTTGAAGAAGTAATGTTTCGGTGAATGACTTGTTCGTCCCATTCCTCGTGGAGGTATCGTACTGCGCAAGCAAGCGATTTTATCACGTTGTACCGACTTTTCCATCGCAAAACAGAGTTCCCCGGTATATGGTTATGGAAAAGAAGATGACTTAGCTTACGATTCGCGGAATAATCGTATACTACAAGCATTTCTCCGTGTTCTGTGCACCATCCACGGAGCATAACTAGGTTACGGTGTCGAAGCCGGCCTAGGTTAAGTAGTTCCGTGGAGAACCGTGTAACAAGCGCCGGACATTTAGTCATACCGAGACGTTTCACCACAATATGTTGGTCTCCGTTGAGTAAACCATAATAAGCCGTACCGAAATCAACCTCAGCAACGCGACGAGCATCGGAGAAATTATCAGTGGCTAAAACGAGGTCGTTGTATGAAATCTCCCTTGGCGTGTCCAATACGAAAGACTTTGATGACGTCACTCTCCGGCTGTTGTAGTTGAAGTACCGATTTTCTCCAGTCTCCGCCGTTTGGTAAATGGAATCCTCAAGGGCAGTAACGTAATTTGACGACGGTATTGACTCGGAAGACGCGTTGAAGCTAGTTGTTGAGGTGGTGGTGGTCGTCGTTGTTCTGGTGGTCGTCGTCGTCGCCGAAGTTGAAGTTGATTTTAGAGAAGATAAAGGAATATAAAGAGGATGGCTCTTAAACGAAGGTAACGCCGGTAAGTTACCGGAAAACTCCCCGGAAAGTGCTCCGATCACCCATTTCATGTTGGGACGATGCGTTGGGTTGTTTAAAGAACAGAGCAGAGCGAGATGAATCATTCTCTTCATATCGGAATTCTCATAAGATCCTTTTGGTAACCGAAAATCTCCGGCGTCGAGTAATTTCCGGTTATCGGATAACCTCCGAACCCAATCAAGCAAAATGATTTTATCTTCAGAGAACGAAAGATCAACGGCACGTCTACCGGAGACAACCTCTAAAACCACAACACCGAAGCTGAAAACATCTGTTTTAGCGGTGGCGACAGTTTTTTTCCGAAAACTCTCAGGCGGCAAGTACCCGATAGTACCACCGATCCGGGTCGAATCCGCGACTCGGAACTGGTGGTTACGGAAGGAAGAAACAGAGTCGTAACTCGAATCAGGCTCTGTTTCATCAATCTTGTGTTCTAACCACCGCGCCAATCCAAAATCTCCGAGTTTAGCGTTAAACTCAGAATCCAACATAACGTTACTCGTCTTCACATCTCTGTGAATAATCTGAGTCTCTAACTGCTCGTGAAGGTAGAACAACGCGGCGGCGAGTCCTTTGACGATTTTACCCCTCCGATCCCAATCCAACGGTTTAAAATCGGAGTTAGCTTCCGGTCGTCGGAAAAGCACACGATCTAAGCTCCGGTTAGGCATGTAATCGTAAACAAGAAGCAACTCGTCTTCGTGTAGACACCAGCCTCTTAGCTTCACAAGATTCCGATGGCGGAGCTGAGCTACCGCAACAAGCTCCGCCGCGAAAGTTTTCTCGAATTGTTCACCTTTCTTCTCCGCCAAGCATTTGACAGCCACCGTGGTTCCGTCGCTCGGTAACACCGCTTTGTAAACACGGCCGAAACCACCGCTTCCGAGGATCAGTTCGTCGCTGAAACCGTTAGTTCCGATGTAAAGCTCAGAGTATCCAAAGATTCTTGGATTCTCGCAACCGACTTTGCTCGAAAGTTGAACACCTTCCATGTCAGTGAAAGATTTATTAGTCTCCATTGAAATCGAATCTTTACACTCGTTGATACTACAAAGATACAAGCTCTTCACAATTTTGGAGCCGTGTAATCGCCGGAATAAATCTCCGATTAAACTCACAACTTGACGTCCACAATCACGACTCTTCTTCTCCTCTTCTTCTTCTTTAGTCTTTTCGACCATCGCCGGAGACTTTAACGACGGCGGTTTTAACTCGCCGGATTCTGTAGGAAGTACGAAACAGAGACGATCCATAGCCATTGGCGCCATGTGAATGTGTAAATATCGAAATGTGAATGAATTTAAAGATGTGATAATGCTTTATAACATTTTGTGACGATCTATTTAACCGACCAAAATTGTATGATGGATTTTCGCCAGCAAGGATGTTTATTTATAGGGTGTGTTCTTTCTAGAAATATAGTATGTAATTTTAATTTATTATCTTTAAAAGTGTTTGTATTAGTATTTGAAATATAATTTGAAGATTGGAGACATTAATTTCAACAAGATTAGGTTCGCGTGGTTTGAATATAGCAAACCCCTTAATCGGGTTTGGTCATTTATGGTGATGTGTCATGGCCCAGGATTCTTCATCTTTTGGTATAAAGTTCTTTTCTTTTTGTTTTATTCTTAGTTCTAATTGATTTTTCAACGAGAAATTTTTAAAAACCCCCATTGATTTCGCCAAAATGATTTAACTTAGAAATTATATATGAGATATGTATACGAAAAATGAAATAAATGTATTTATTTACGTATGGAAATAAATGAGACCGAAAAGACATTCAAAGCGTGTCGTCGGGGAGAACATTGACGCGGTCGAAACTTTGTCTTCTTCTATTTTTCTTCCTAAATTAAATTCTAAATTCGAATAAATTTTTTACTACTTTTTGTTCAAGGACGTGTAATGCATTTGAAAATAATTACGCGCTAGTTTAAATGTTTTATAGGTTGGATTTTAATTTCTTCAATCTTATGGGTTAAATTCATATTTTGAATGTGCTTTATTTACCTATCAGCAAGAAGTAAGGGATAAAAGTTTTGGTCCAGCCTTTCATGATAATAGTATCAAACTTGAGCAATTGAGAAAATAATATGATGATCAACCATTTAACAAAAATGACAACAAACATGAACGACATTCTTGGTTCTGGTTTTTATTGTATGAATCAAGTAACCAACAAGGCAATGATATATATGGAGCTTTTTGTTAGTGGAATACTAAATTCGGATACTTTTTAGGTCCGAGAATCAAAGCATGTCACAAGATTCTCAAATATAATGATATACTGAATTCAAACTTTGATGATATTTATCATTTGTAGTGGGTCCAATATAATTTTATTCACATAGTTCTTGAAATCGCTTCACTAGTATTAGTTTCAGATGTTTTGAAGATTTTCCGGTGCTTTAGTTTGCCATTGGGTCTTCAAGACCGATCTTGGTTGAGAAGACTTTAGATAAAATTATATTTTCAGATGTATACGCAGATGAATTGTTTAAATATTAAACTATATACTTTTGTGTTTTTCTAGAGACTACTTGTTTTTGTTAAAATATTTTTATAAAACGTCCATGTTAATGAGAGAAAGTCCCACATCGGTAGTTGGAGAAATAATCAAGTAATATATAAAGGGTTAGGGCCAATCCACTCATTGCCAATTGATTTTGAGTTGGAAGCCCATGTTAAAGCCCAAATCTATCATGGTATACGAGCCACCCGATCGTTAGGCCACCCTGTGGATGTTGTTCCCACATATACCCACGCTTCAGATGTTCATGCCTGAACGTGAGGGAGGGTGTTATTGAAGTCCCATATCGGGCCACTCCGTGGATGTTATTCCCACATATGCCCACGCTTCAGAGCCAACGATGCCTGAACGTGAGGAGGGATGTTAATGAGAGAAAGTCTCACATCGGTAGTTGGAGAAATAATCAAGTAATATATAAAAGGTTAGGGCCAATCCACTCATTGCCAATTGGTTTTGAGTTGAAATCCCATGTTAAAGCCCAAATCTATCATGGTATCAGAGACAAAATTCTTTTACGTGGATTTGAGTCAAGATACTATTTTGGAGTCTGTTTTATATGCTTGTTTGAATTCGATAATATTAATGACTAATAAAATAATCAATTGCGAATAATGTTCTAGTAGCGTTTGAATCCTGACTTCTTTATATTTTAAACTAATTAGTTAACAAATCTCCATTATAACCAATGATTTTTTTTTTTTTTTTTTTTTT